ATGAAGTTATTTTTTTTTAATGAAAATCATTGTCGCCAACAGTAAAAACATAAAATGCACTAGACTATTAACGCACCCAAATTCATCAATAGTATATTTATCATTTCACTTACAACACAAGTGACTGCTTTTCTGTGCCCCACAAAATCCTTATCTTGTCTCCAGCCTTCTCTTTCGATGATTTGGGCAGTGGGCCCCCCTCCATTCATGGCATGTGAAGAGACAAGATATTGCCCATCAGGGGACCACGATAATCTTAAAACATGTGTGGTTGCTGAACAATCGACAAATGGGTCTTTGACCACTTCCTGTTGAACCCAATCGCAAGTTCTCCAAATTCTCAAAGACTTATCATCCGATTGGCTGGCTATATATTTGCCCACAGGGTCCCAAGTGACTCCCTAAAACCAATTTTGAAATTTTTATTTTAATTTTTTGATTTTTTTACCTTAACCATGCCTGTGTGTCCTTTCAAAACAGCAACTTTTTCAGGGAATTTGTGAGCATTCCAGATTATAACAGTGTTATCCACACTTCCTGAGGCCAACCAGCCGTCATGTGGGGCCCAAGCCAAGTCCAAAACATCCCCATTATGCGAGTTGAGAGTATGGACACACTTCCACGTCTCCACATTGACTTTCCCGCTACCAAAAATAGAAGAACTCCCCTCACTTGTAAGCCTCCAAATCATCACAAGCTTATCGTCGCCCCCAGAGGCCAATAAATGGCCCTCATTACTCCACCTTACCACATTCACACATGCTAAAAATGAATAAAATTTTTGAGAAATGAATAAAATAAATAACACACTTGAGGGTTGTTACCCAAATGGTTGTCCATTTGACACAACATTTTTGGAATTTTTGCGCTAGTTTCGTCATTTTCGGACAACACGGGGGCGATGTTCCAGATTACGATGCGACCGCCGGAGCCCCCTTGCCCTCCGGTGGCAAAACGCCCACCTTTGGGGTGGATATCCACCGAGAAAATGGGCTTACTCCCTGGAAATGTAATGTTTACACGAAATCAAAAAAGGGGCTGTTTACCTTCGTGAGTCACCCAAGATGGCTTGAAAAAAATCATTTTTTGGCTTGCACAACACAGGATTACAATTAAACCATTTTTTAATTAATGATTTGCTTTAATTATAAGCGGTGTTGGGTTTTCTAACCCCACATAACAATGTCAAAAATTCACAATGGCGACTTGTGTTTTACTGGTTGTCTATTCTTACAAAAAAAAATCGCAAAATGTGTATTTGGAAACTTAAAATACGATTTATAATTGAACTACTTTTATGCAATTACAGTTTTTTATTCTCATATAACAAAAATGTCAAAAAAATTGACAGTGGCAACTCGTGACTATTTTACTGGTTGCCTAACATTTGGAAACAAATTGACAACTAAAATTGAAAATAAAATAAAGCTTAATGAGTGTTTGTTTATCCAATTTTTGTATTAAATTAAGCATTTAACTCACATAAAATAAATAAAAACATCTGCTTCATTTAATGTAATGGCTACATGCTGAGTCACTTACAATAAAGACCCTGACCGATTTTTAGAAGCAACCCAAAATACATTCTCACAGTTAACTTTACTTTTTGTATGTTTGAAAAATTTAGTTTATTAAATTCAAATCAAAGTCATTGTTGATATGTCATTAGTTAAATTTGACAGTGTCAAAAATTCCACTTTTTTTTCTTGAATTCAAAATATACTCAAACGACGAAAAAACTGTCATAATTTTGACAAATAGAAATAGGACATTAGTGGTATCTGAGAATGTATTTTGGGTTGCGTCTCAAAATCGGTTAAGGTCCTTATTATACACGGTGGTTCAGAAGTCTGGAAACGGTTTTATTCTGGCGAAACTATCAAGTTTTTTGCCAAATAAATTTATAGGTGTGCAATGGCTATAAAAATAGTATTAAAAAAAATTGATTGTTAGTTAATTGTTTATACTTACGAGATAAACATAGTAACAATTTTTTTTTAATGGAAACCTACCAGAATTTTTTTTTAGACAACGGGCTTGTTACAAAAATTGTAAATTTTTTGTAAATCTCACAC